GAATGAATTTTTTAATAACCATGTCAAATAACCATCTGAGGTTAACATCTAGCAACAACGAAACCGAGATTGCAAAACTGGCACATGTGCGTTTTTTGTCCTTCCGAATCTTACGTTCATGATAAGTCAATTGAACGTATCTCCGCTCTAAAAGAGATCAAGCACTGGTTGCAGAGCAAGGTCTAATCTTTTAGTGATGGATAGACTCAAAAATTTTGGATACTTCGGGTTTTCACAATTTTAGAAACCTTATTCGGAAAACTAATACCATTCTGTGCGAGTATTTTTGCTTACATTTGCTTCTAATTTTGATCCTAGCTTTTGAGTGGCAAGTATAAAGATGAATCAGGTGGCATAAGAGCCAGCCACCATAGAGGTCTCAAAATCATCAATTGAACTTCTCAAACCTGTCAACGTAAGTTTGAAAAGTTAATTTCCTAGAATTCCCTTATTGCCTCTAAAAGTATAAGTAGAATGACAGAGAGAACAAGATTCTGGGAAGGTCATACTAAGATTTGAATTGCTGTATCATGAATGCAATAGCAGTTTAATTTATAAAAGTTCTGTATGACGCTCATTGAGAAGATTGACTTTGCCTAATATCAGTATATCCACTGCAGTTAAAAAGTCACCATCCTACAAAATCTATAAATAAATGAATAAGATAAAAAGAAAAAGAACACTTTTTCGTTTCTACCCTTAGACGGAGAAAAAGAATGGATGAGTCCCCGCCGGAACTCTCAGTATGGAGAGAGGGCTTAAAACATAGAAAATAAGAAAAAGAAGGGAAAGCTGACCTGCCTGTTGTCCTTATATGAAGTCGTTGCAAATTGTCGATGTGGCTTCCACATAGTCGTGCCGCGTGCATGCGAAATAAACGATGCTCAACTAGAACTAATATGAATTATTCATTATGGACAAAAATCCTTTTAATTGTATAGTTAATTTCATTCACTGACTTTATATTTATAAACTATAATTTGTTTTAGCATTTTCGAAATAAAATAAGATCACTAAACATCATCATCACAGAATATTCTTGAGGAAATCTTTATAAAATTAACAGGTTGTGGCTATTCTGGAAGCTTCTATTTATATAGAAGCATGCTTTATTTTGAGGATGCATTCCAATCACTATGAAATCTCTCTAGCAAGAAACTTAAATAGCCTTTTTATTCTACATTTTTATGTTTATTTCTTTGTTAACATTGATTTGAGGATCCAATCAGTTACAGTGATAAAAATCTTCTGGATTAGGTTCCAATATCAATATGATATATGCTC